ACTAGATTCCAGCTGACTTGGCTCTGAGGACCACTATGCCCCCCACCATGTGGTACACACTGGCCCACTCTTCCCTCAACTCATAGCACCCAGCGAGCAAAAGCTGCTGGAGGTCTCTCTTACCAGCGACTCTGACCACTGCACGCTCTGCAGGGTCCAGCACCGAATCCTGGCTTTTCCGCTTCTTCTGCTCATGCAGTGGCAGATTCCAGGGCAAGGTGTCCCCAGGGGGACAGGGAGACAGGCTCCCTGACCTCTCACTCCGATAAGATCGCTCGCTCCGACATGACCTCTCACTCCGACAGGACCGCTCACTGAGCGTTTCTTCATCTGAGGAAGACATGGTGGGCACGCAGGGGTGGCCACGGGAAGGACTGGATGTCCGGGGAGAAGGGATCTAGAGGAGAAAGGGAAGAATGTGAACAGAATGAAAGGGCCACACAAGGAGCACTGAGACTGAGACTCCTGGCCCTGCTTCTGTCTTCATCTCTTTACCTACCTGAACCTCAGTTTCTTCATTACAAAATGAAATACACAGACGTGTATGGTGACTCAGACCTTTAATCCCAGCACCCAGGAGTCAGAAGCAGGTGCCTCTGAGTTCAAGGCCAGCCTGGTCTACAGAATGAGTTCCAGGATACCAGGGTCACACAGGGGAACCCTTTCTGGAAAAACCAAACCAAACAAAATAAAACAGAAATAACACATGCCAAAACTAATTTATGGGGCTTAGGAGAAAATTATATTAGGTATGTAGATAGATAGATAGATAGATAGATAGATAGATAGATAGATAGACAGACAGACAGACAGACAGACAGACCTATAAGAGTCAACACTTGGCCGGGCGTTGGCGGCGCACGCCTTTAATCCCAGCACTCGGGAGGCAGAGGCAGGCGGATCTCTGTGAGTTCGAGGCCAGCCTGGACCGACAGCCTCCAAAACAATACAGAGAAACCCTGTCTCGTAAAAGCAAAAAAAAAAAAAAAAAAAGATTTCAAGGCCAGCCTTGGCAACATAGTGAGTTTAAGGGTATCTGGGCTATATGAGATCTTATTTCAAACAAAACAAAACAAAAAGCCAGGCATGGTGGCTCATGCCTATAACCCCAGTGCTTGAGAAATAGAGGTGGGGGAAGGCTGGAGATATGCCTCAGTGGCTACTCTTCTGGAGGTCCTGAGTTCTAGTCTCAGAACCAAACTAGGATTTGACAACCTTTTCTGACCAAATCAGCTACCAGGCATGCACATGGTACACAGGCATGCATGCAGCAGTTAAAATGATCACAACATAACACAATTACATATATATATATGTATACATATACATATGTATATATATATGTATATATATATATATATATTTGGTTTTTCAAAACAGGGTTTCTTTGTATAGCCTTGGCTGTTCTGAAACTCATTCTATAGGCCAGGCTGGCATTGAACTCAGAGATCTACCTGCCTCTGTCTTCTGAGTGCTGGGATTAAAGATGTGTACCATCACCAGCCAGCAGTAACAATGTTTTTAAAGATGAAAAAGGAAGAAAGGAGGGAGGGAGGGAGGATGGAGGGAGGGTGAGGGAGGGAAGGAGGCAAGAGGATCCCCACAAGTTAAGGTTAGTGTACATACTGAGATACAGAGTGTAAGTCTGTCAAAAGAGAAACCTGTAAATCTCCCTCCCTACCACCCAATGCTGGGGCTTGAGCCTAGGGCCTTGCACATGCTAGGTAAGGGCTATACCACTGGGTTACAACCCTAGCCCCAAATACTCGTAAACCTTAAATACCATGTAGCTGGTTATGGTACACACACCTGTAATACCAGCACTCAGGAAGCTAGGAAGCTGGGGCAGGAAGACTGAGGTCAGTGTCTTCTGGGCTATATTCGAAGACCCTGTCTCAAACAAACGGGCTATAGAGAAGCATGGTTAAGAACGCATACTACTCTTGTAGGAGACCCAACTTCGGTTCCCAGTACCCACTGCAGTAGTTCACAACTACTTGTAACTCTAGCTCCAGGGTCCAGACACCCTTGTCTGGCCTCTTCAGACACCTGGTTCATGTGCATATATCCTTTCACAGACAACGCATGCACACAGAATGAAAAATAAAATAAACTTTTAGAAAAGTATGGTATAACATGCTTGTAATCCCAGGACTCAGGAGGCAGAGGCAGGCAGATCTCTGTGAGTTCAATACCAGACTGGTCTACATGACAAGTTCCAGGCCAGCCATGGCTACCTAGTGAGATGCTGTCTAAAAACAAATAAACAAATTGTGTGAATGTTACTTGTATACTAATAGCCAGGCAGAAAGATATCAGTTTAAATTCTACTCCATTATTCATTAGCCGTATGACAATGAAGAAGTCATTTAATCTTGTTACCCTCGACATTCTCATCTATAAAATGGGAATGATGCCACCATCTAATCTCACAGCACTGTTCGCAAGAATTAAACAATATCCTTTCAGTTTATGCCAGGTTCCCAGTGAGCACTCAATACGGAATCTATTATTACATTCCCCTTCTTACCTCCCAGGGATGCTATAAGGATAAAATGGGACAACAGATGGGAAGTATTTTCAAAAGCTAATGCACAATCTCAGCAGCAGGAATGAAAAGAGACTTGAGCTAGGATAGGTGGAAATTCCCAATTTCTCCAGCACACAGATTAGACACAGCACTAAACTCAAGCAAGGTAGCCTGGCTATAAATTCTGGTTCTGTATCTGACAGTTGGTGAGATCAGGGGCAAATCACTCTACCTCTAGGAGACTGGGCTTCATCATCTGCACAGTGGGGGAGGGGCAACTTCTCCTTCGAGGATATTTTAAGGACACCGTGAAATGCGAATGTAAACGTAGCTGGTAGCATGTATGTCACACAGCAGGCTTTAGATAAAATATTCATCGGCTCATTCCAAGGGCTGTGTGGGAATACATCACACAGCATGGGGGCAGGGGTGATGGTGAGGACCTTCAGTTTTTCTGGTCAGTTTAGCTAGTGGAGGGAGAAGAGTAGAAACAAAATCTTTCCAAGCCAGCTGGGCTCCACCAGCCAGACTGGGCAGCCTTCCCTGAGCCAGGCCCAGCTCACTGGCCAGAACCATCTGCTACACATGGCCCACCACCCCGAGGGCTCTAGGAGCCAAGATGAAGCATGCCTTCAGCTGTCAGCCTTCCGATCAGGACCCAGATCCAGCTCAGGTAAATAGTTCTATCTGGGCTCTAGAGACCGGGTATGGCAAAAGCTGTCCCCTTCCGGGGAATATCTGGACACAGGGCTGTGCAGAGTAGGGAAGTGGCCTAAATGCTTGGGTCTTTGGTACAGCTCCTCCTAGGTTCTGGGAATCTCAGCTTAGAAGCAGCGCTCTCCCAGATCACTGACATCTCCTGGAGCACAGAACTCAGATAACAAAAGAACATCCCACCATGCAGGGGGGTTCTATGAAGCCCGGGGCAGATGGAGCAGCCGTGCCAGGGTATTCCTGTGTCAGCAGTGTGAGGATCTTTCCATGGAACACCAAGGTTCTATCTTACCACCAGAAGAGTTGAAAAGATCCAACGACTGGCACAGCCTTGCCCTTAATCGTAACATTTGACCTCAGTCTCACCATTACCTCCCACCTCTTTTGCCGGGTCGAGTACTGAAGTGACAGCCCCAACCTCTAGGAAACTCAGGCTGTGCACCCATCCTACCCTCAGCCCTGGGCAGGAAACTGCCCCTCCTCTCAGACCACCTGCCTCATTCAAGAGCCGCCCATTCCCCTTCTAGACGCCCATTTTTACTACAAAGGCCCTCAAAAGCAAGGCCTCCTCCGTGAGAAGCCCAGCCCTCCTCGGCTCTACCCGGGTCGGTGACAGTCTTCGACCTCTCACACACACACCTGTGTGACCTCCGGGCTTCCGCCCTACTCCTCAATCACTCGGATCACTCCATACATCCTGGTAGGCAGGAACGCGCGCCCACACCCCCCGTGCATCTCGAAGGTCCCCAGGCCACCTGGGTCCGCGGTAGGCATCTGACCCGGCACCGACAGGCTGCTGCCCTCCCCACCTCGCCTCCACCCCCACGGCGGGGGGAGGGACGCTTCCCGGAGTCTGTGGCGGCGCGGGTGGGTCCGCGTGCCCGGCGCGCGCGTGGCTGACAAAGAGCGGGGACGCGTGACCGAGGATCGGCAGGGCGTCGGTGCCATCGGCAGATCTCGGGAACCCGGAGGCGAGTTTCCCTGCCCAGCTCTGCCCACTCCTGCAGGTCCCTCTCGTGTGTCCCATTTTCCCCAGAAACACGCCTCCCTTTGGCCAGAGCAGAACTCCCTTTGGTCCGAGGGAACCCCAGCTCCGTGCGCTCCGCACTCCCCGCGCTGCAGGTGCGAGGCCCGCACGACTGCGGTGCCCGTGCCTGTCAACCCGCACGCCAGCCGCCCTGGGGCTGGGGTGAGGCCGCCCGGGCTCCAAGCATCGCCGCGAAGCCGGCGGAGGAGCCGAGGGCCCCGAGCCCGCCCCGCGCCTTACCCTGTGAGCGCGAGGAGGAGGCCGGCGGACGGCTGCGGCGCGGCAGAGGGGGAGCGGCTCCCACAATGGCCGAGCTCGCGGCGCCGAGCCCCCCGCCCCCCGCGCCCTAGCGGCGGCGGCTGAAGCGGAGCCCGCGCAGCCGCCCAACCCGCTCCCCACCCCCGGCGCCGGCGCCGCCCCCCGCCCGCCCGCCGCGCTCTCCGCCCTGTACCCCGCCCGCCGCGCCCTGCGGGTCTGCGGCCCCGCGCCCCTCGGTACTCACCCCGCGTCCCCTCGCAGTCCCTCCCCTCGCTACGGCACCGGAGTCCGTGGGGCGGATTCGCACCTTTCACTCGCCGCGCCTGGCCCCGAGGCTGCTCGCTGGCCCGCCCCTTGGAGCTCCGCTCCTCCAGTCCCAGGATGACTCTCCCAGGCTAGGGCTTTCTGCCCGGCCGGCTCTAGCCCGGCCCGGGTTCTGGAATGACCCCGGCCTGCCCTTCTGCCCACTTCCTCTAAAACCACATTCTGTCATCACTCCTGGGGCCCCTTTTGGAGAAGGCCCTGGGGGACTGAGTCAGGGAGGGACTAGGAGACTCCATTTCCCCCTTAGGGGTAAAGAGAAGAAGGGAAGCAGGCCCGGAGATGAGAATCCGGTCTCTTGATTGATTAGGCACACTTTAGGCAGCGCCTACCTTGGAAGAAGCTTCTTCCACTCATAAGACGTTTATTGAGTTCCTTCTGCATGCATGAGCTAGCGATGTAAGCACATCTTCTATCCTCCGTGCTACAGATAAATGTGTCTAGAATGGTTCTGCATTAAAAACAGTCACCATATGGGTATGTTCTGGTTACTACTGTGCAAAGAGCTTTACCTGGTCTATGACAGACATAATTTTCTTATCATTCATTCATTCAATCTCTATGTTTTGAACTTCTAGACGCTAGTTACTGAAGATACATAAATGAGGAGGATGCATCTAATCCCTGCCTAACGGCCCCAAAGGGTTTACAGTCCCGCAGGTGAAACAAAGATCATAAAACATCCCAAGAGACAGCATTATGGTCTTTCAACTATGAGTGCACAACTAAAATCAGATGATTTACTCAAAGGTCCTCTAGGGAGATAGAGGTGGAGGATCACAACTTCAAAGCCAGCAGAGACCTCTCCAGAAAAACCATGTCATGAGCACACAGAGGGAGGAGAATCAAGGATCTGGAGTTCAAGGTCTACATACATAAGATTCCAGCTCAAAATAAAACCAAACCCCAAACAAAGAAGCCACAGCATATTGTAAATGCTAGCTATACATAACTTTCATAAATCCCAAATAAATTTTAATTTTTATTACACCGTATATGTTTGTGTGTGTGAATATATGTGCCATGACTCACAGTGTGGAGGTCCAAGACAATTTGTGGGAGTTGGTTCTCTTCTATTATGTGGCTCCCAGAAACCAAGCTGAGGTCCTCAGGCTTAGCTGAAAATACCTTTACCTGCCATTTCACTAACCTAAAAATACACCTTAAAAGTTAAAAACAAAAACAATTGCCTGTTGTGGTAGTGTATGACTATAATACCAGCACTTAAGAGGCTGAGGCTGGAGAATTACCATGAGTTCAAGACCAGACTGGGTTACAAAGTGAGTTCAAGGCCAATCTGAGCTATGTTTTAAGAATTTGTCTATAGCTGGGTGGTGGTGGCACATGCTTTTAATTCCAGTACACAGGAGGCAGAAGCAAGTGGATCTTTGTGAGTTTGAGGTGAGCCTGTTCTACAGAGTTAGGTCCAGGATAGCCAGGGCTAAACCGTGAAACTCTGTCTCAAAACAAGCAAACAAAAAAACAAACAACATCCCCCCAAAACACTTGTCTATAAACAAATATAAGAAATAAAGTTCCTAACTCAGGGTATGGCCCTGTATCCATGTATACACACGTAGCACCAAATGGACTCATTGGGTTTAAAACAGCACATCAGAGGTAAAAAGCAGTTGGAACCAGGGTCAATTGCTTGGCAGCTCACAACCAGTTATTGGAGACTCCAGTTCCTGACCTCACTGTACACATACATACCTCATACGTATAAAATGAAACAAATCTAAAAAGAAGAAATTAAAAAGAGTTCATGAAGTTGGGGGGAGCAGAAGAGGCAGAAGGGAGGGAATGTGGTGGATTTGATCAAGACACATCCTGATGATATGCATATATGAAATTCCTAAAAATATGGTCCATGAAATTTAACTATCACTATGGTCAATAATATCCAAAATAAACATCAGATTTATTTATATCATAAAATAATAATAAAATAAGTCCTGTGAGGGGCTGGGCGTTGGTTGTGCACGCCTTTAATCCCAGCACTCGGGAGGCAGAGGCAGGCAGATCTCTGTGAGTTCGAGGCCAGCCTGGTCTACAGAGAGAGTTCCAGGACAGCCTCCAAAACAACACAGAGAAACCCTGTCTCGAAAAACCAAAAATAAAATAAAATAAAATAAGTCCTATGAGTCACAGAAGCATCAAGTTGAAAGTCATTTTCAATGTAAAAACACGTGTCACAGTGCTTGCCTAGTGAGACAGGACTGTGGGCATCAAGGGGGTAGAGCAAGCTGAAAACATCGGGAGAGCACGAGGAAACAATTGCCACAAGGACAGGGTCTCCATAGACAGGGCCCACGTCAAGGCTCAAGAAGAGAAATACCAGAAACCCGAAGGCCCAGCTTGCCTGGCTAGAGGACATCTAAAGGTTTTCCCCTTCCAGCCCTCAGTGACCTTCCCAAATCTGACTACTACTCCAACCCTGAATTATTCATGATGCAAGCTGCCAGAAGGTGGGGCTTCCAGAACCTTCTGGATTCAGGGCATTCAGCTGTGAATCCCCAGGGTGATGTCCCTAGCTCTAACAGTACTACCCTGGGATTGAGCTACTGGTGAGATTTGCCAAGAGTTTTTAGTGGCTGGCAGTGAGCCAGTGACCTTGGGCTACTGGACTCCAATTCATTCCAGCAATCTTTTGTTGAGGAATACTATGTGCTGGGGAGGGTTTGGGTTTTTTTTGTTTTTGTTTTTTGTTTTTTTTTTTTTTTTTTTGGAACAGAGAAGTGAATCCAACTATCCAACTGCGTCCTTGTCCTTGAGGACTGTAGAGGAGCCTCAGGACACCTCAACAGAAGGTGGGCAGACACATCAATATGATTGTCTTCCAGAACACCCTCCATTGCTCCCTCCCATCACATTCCATTTCCAAGCAGGTCACTGCTAATTCTCTCAAGCTGGCTTGAAATCTCACAGCCTAAACTACCTAAACTGGGTGCTGTTGGGAACTCAGAGGAGCCCAGAAGAGCTTCTTACTAACATGACTATGAGGAGTCCTGACTTAGTCCTGCAACTTGGGCCATATTCCATTTACACTAGGAGTATGGCATTCACTCCACAGAAGTAGTCACTCACTAGGGCCAGACACTAAGCCTTGTGTCTGTGACTCAAAATAAAATTAAATAAATAAAAAATCAGAAAGTGGAAGGCTCACACAGGTGAATTTTGGGTTTGAGGACAGCAGGGCCATTGAGTAAAACTCTTATCTATAAAGGAATGAATGAATGAATGAATGAGACACGCACAGCCTATGTTGTTAAACTATTCCCAGTTTGAGAACAAAGATAGATAAATGGAAAACTACACTTCTGCTTCATTTCTACTGAGATAGAGGAGTGTAGGGGGACCCCAAGAAAAGGTACAGACAGAAAGGGAACTCTCCTAAGAAGACTGAAGCCAAGCAACTTTTAAAAAAAGATTTATTTATATATATGCCTGCAGGCCATAAAAGGGTACCAGACCTCATTATGGGTGGTTGCAAGCTACCATGTGGTTGCTGGGAATGAAACTCTGGACCTTTGGAAGAATAACCACTGCCCTTAACCACTGAACCACCTCTCCAGTTCACTGTTTTACTATTGTTCAGAGGCTGCTGAACCTTAATCGACAATAGTTAAAACTGAGCTAAAATCCCAGCACTCGGGAGGCAGAGGCAGGCGGATCTCTGTGTGTTCAAGACCAGCCTGGTCTACAGAGCGAGTTCCAGGACAGCCTCCAAAGCCACAGAGAAACCCTGTCTCAAAAAACAAAAAAACAAAAAAACAAACAAAAAAAAAACTGAGCTAAAATAACTCCTTTGTTTCTTAAATTGCTTTTGTCAGATACTTTGTTGCAGAAAGGAGGAAAGTAACTATAGCGTTCACACCCAGGGTGTTTTTGTTTTTTTTGTTTTTTTGTTTTTTTTGGTTTTTATGAGACAGGGTTTCTCTGTATTGTTTTGGAGGTTGTTGGTCCAGCCTGGCCTCGAACTCCAGGGTGATTTTTTTAAAGGGTGATTTTTTAAAGCAGGCCACGCCCCACAAGGCAATTTACAAATAGGCCTCAGCCTATTCAAGATCCCTCCTCCTCCATTCCTCCTTGCTTCCAACACAGGTTCTGGTTATACTGCCTAGGCTGACCCCAAACTCACAATCCTCCTGCCTCAAGACCCTGAATGTTAGGATTACCAGCATGCCTTATCAGATCTTTGGCTGTTTCAAACAGTAAATTGGGTATGGATCTGAAGTTCCAACATTTTGGAGTGGGAAAGTATTTCACCCACTATCAAATTACTTTTTTTTTTTTAGACATCATTTCTCTGGGTAACAGCCCCTGGCTGTCCTGGAACACTTTGTAGACCAGGCTGGTTGGAAACTCACAGAGATCCATCCACCTGTCTCTACCTTCTGAGTGCTGGGATTAAAGGAGTGTGCCACCATGCCCAGCCAATTTACTAACTTCTTTTTTTTTCTTTTTCTAATTAATTTATTTTTTATATTCCAATCCCAATTCCCCCTCCCTCCTTTCCTCCCTTTCCTTCCACTCCCCTCTCCTCCCATCTGCTCCACGGAGAGTGTAAGGCCTCCCCTAAGAAGCCTTCTAAGCCTGTCCCATCATCTAGCTGAGGGAGAACCAAGGCACCTCTCCAACCCCACACCACTGTGTCTAGGCTGAGCAAGGTATCTCTCCATATAGAATGGGCTCCACTAAGTCAGTTTGTGCATTAGAGTTAGATCTTGGACCCACTGCCAGTGGCCTCATATATTGTCTCAGTCACACCATTGTCACCTATATTAAGGGAGTCTAGTTTGGTCTTACGCAAATTCCCATTTGTTAGACCTGAGCCAATGATCTCTCACTAGCTTGGGTCAGCTGATCCTGTGGGTTTCCTCATCAAGGTCTTGATTCCTTTGTTCATATTATCACTCCTCCCTCACTTTGATTGTACTCCAGGAGCTTGGCCCATTCGTTAGTTGTGGATTTTTTTTTTCTTTTTTGGTTTTACGAGACAGGGTTTCTCTATTGTTTAAGAGGCTGTCGGTCCAGCCCAGCCTCGAACTCACAGAGATCCACCTGCCTCTGCCTCCCGAGTGCTGGGATTAAAGGCATGCGCCACCACCGCCCGGCTAGTTGTGGATTTTTGTATCTGCTTCCATCTATTTCTGAAAGAGAGTTATAACTTCTCTGGGTTTGTCAATTGTAGGTTGGGTATGCCTTACTTTATTTCTGGATTCACTTATGAGTGAGTACATACTATATGTATCTTTCTGATTTTGGCTTACCTCACTCAGGGTGGTTTTTTTTTTTTTCTAGTTCTGCCCATTTGCCTGCAAATTTTAGGATGTCATTATTTCTTATTGCTGAGTAGTACTCCATTGTGTAAATATACATTTTCTTTATCCATTCTTCAATTGAGGGGCACCTAGGCTGTTTCCAAGATCTGGCTATTACAAATAATGTTGCTATGAACATAGTTGGGCAAATGTCCTTGTGGACCAGCATAAGCTGTCACTGGTGTTCTTTATTTTAGCCACTCTGATTTGTGTAAGACTAATTTCTTTTTTTTTTTTTTTTTTTTTTTTTTTTTTTTTGGTTTTTTGAGACAGGGTTTCTCTGTATTGTTTTGGAGGCTATCGGTCCAGCCCAGCCTCGAACTCACAGAGATCCGCCTGCCTCTGCCTCCCGAGTGCTGGGATTAAAGGAGTTTGCCATCACCTCCTGGCTCATATTTTATTTATTTTTTATGTGTATGAGTGTTTTGTCTGTGTGTATGTATGCACACCATGTGCATGCAGTGTCCTCAGAGACCAGAAGAGGGAGGCAGATCCCCTGGGACTGGAGATACAGTGTGAGATCGTATGTAGGTGCTAGGAGTAGAACATGGGTTCTCTTGAAGAGCAGCCGATGCTCTTATTAATGTATGAGCCATCTCTCCTGCCCCTCCTCCATATTTTCATTAGCTGTGTATTTCCTTGAGCAAAGGACATCATTATTCAGTAGCAGC